GAACCAAACTGTGGCCTTGACAATGTCCTCATGTCCTGGGGCCACGATGGTAAGAAGCATCATCAGCCATGCATGACTTAAATTATTTTTAAAAGTTCTACTACTATAGAAGAGCATTTATCTATTACACTGTGATCTACACCCTTGCGTTCTTGTCTTCAGAGTATCTCTACAGAGTTATGAAGTTCAACAAGTGCCTCATCCCAGAGGAGGTGAGTTAATTATTGCCTTAAATTGTTTTTATCGGGGGGGCAATTAGCTTTATAGTTGGCACAAAAGTGTTAGGCAACAGGAAAGTCTTGGCTCTGAATTAACAGCTTAAACACTAATTCCTCTTTTCCTCTGACATGGTGCCAGTTCTGCTTGGTGCTCTTTGAGAACCAGGGTAGATTTCAGCAGGTTTAAGAACCAAACATTTAATTGGATTAATTTGTGGGGAAAGACTGATTGCAACTCCAACACAACCGGAGTAAAGGTCAAAGATTAGGCATCAGAACAAAAGGGGTAGAATAGAAGAATTAGTGGATAAATCCCGATTATAGTGGAAAAAATACATTTGTTTTTTCCATGCATACAGTGACTGTAGACACCTCTAATTTGTGTCTCCCTCCAGGGCTTATACATGATTCGCTTCCATTCCTTCTACCCCTGGCACTCCCATGGAGATTACATGCATCTGTGCAACGATAAAGACTTGAAGATGCTGCCCTGGGTCAAAGAGTTCAAGTGAGTATCTTAAACACACATGTAAAATGTGTTCAGTCAAGTTTTGTACCCAGGACTTAACTCTGATTCATCTACAGCAAATTTGACCTGTACACAAAAACCACTGATCTGCCTGACGTCAACAACCTGAAGGTGTACTACCGGTCTCTGATTGACAAGTACTGTCCTGGAGTACTGCAGTGGTAAAACGGACCAAAAGGAACGTTTAAAAAGAAAAATCAACGACAACACTGTTAGAAATCGGTTAGTGGAATGATTTTACATACCTATATTGTGACACTGACTAAATGTATAGCTGGACTTGGTGTCTTTCTGTATATAGTTTAGTTTTTACTGGATAAATCAATCTTATTTTGTATATTCTAATCATTATAATAATGCCTATTTTATACAATAAAGCATGTACAAATCAAAATTTCGCTTTTATTGTACTGTTACATATATATAAAAAGATTTCAAAACACTACAGTGTTCCATGTGTTTAATTTGAAATCTTAAACAAAAACAAAACCCAAAACACACGTTTGTAGAAAAGGGGAAAAGTGCTTGTGTGATTTAGTTCTGTACATACAGCAAGACGCAAACAGCACAGGCGGGAGACAAACTGTGCCGAACAGTAGCGTCAACGCTAGACAAACCAGAGCCCACATCATCGTTTCTCGTTTCATTCTACATGATTTGTTTGGTTTTTTTAAACTGGGTTTCTCCA